ACTTTTTGCAAGCAAAACATCCTGAACCAGTACTTACGCGACAAGATGAAGGCAGTAATTATTGCATTGTCATTGACACTATCTAACTATTCCGGAATTTACAATGTTCAACTTTAAATTCATTTAGACTGAAAAATGTCGCCATATTACGTCTTAAAATGTCAGATTGTTATAACAAAACCAGTTTCCGAAATGATAAATTTGTTAAATCAATTGATCTTTTTGAAGCAATCTTACAAGTTATTCTATTTGCATGAAATAAACAACGTTAAAATCAAAACAGAATGTCAATTGATGTTACATGAATAAAGTTACGATACTGTACCTCATTTACATTATTAGATTGTTTGCGAATATCTCTTATCCATCTTAATAGAAAATGTAAAATTGAAATACGAAAAGTGCAAAGAAAAGTACAGATGAGATGAATGGTATAACGATGTAATACATGTACTCGTAGCTATATGTATTGTTATACACAGACGCGCTGAAACAGTTTTTAATTGTGGGGAGGGGGGAATTTACTTGCTTACTTAATTTCTCAATGAATGGCGAATGGATCATTAAGTTTAGATTTAGATCAAACTACAGCAATGGTTCTTGTTGTCTAAATACTTGAAACAGTATATATAGCAGTAACAAACAAGCTACACAGCAACGAACAAATAGTAATTATAAAAATTAAATGTAAGATCTATATATTATATTAAAACTATCTTTTCTTTCAAATAGGGGGTACTTTTTTCATTATCTCATTGCCGGTGATCCTGACGCATAAAATATCAGCAAACGAGATTTTAAAAAAAGACGTTTAACGCTCCCCTCTTCACCTCTGATATTGACAATTGCCGAAGCCTACCAATCAAACTTGGATTTGAGTGAGAGTGTATACATGAGTTATACATGGTACGAGATTAAAAGCGCATTTTTACACAAGCGTAGCATCAATTAAGTCTCATGACAAGATAAAATTATCATATCCACACCATTCAACGACATTCCAAAATTATCCTAGCTTTATCTACAAAGTTCACTCACACTAGCAAAATTATAAACAATGGGTTTTCTTCTTATGAAAAGGCCTACCGTCAACCATTACTTTTTGTTTTCGAAATAAAATACAGATATTTTATAGTAAAAGATAATTTTACTGAGTAATAAAAAGATGGCAGGTGTATGGACCTTTTTACTATTTAATTTTTCTATGTTAACGATGTTGCGTAACGCGCATTCGCATTCTGCGTTGGGTAAAACGCAATTACGAAAGATTGTAACATGCTTTAAAAGACTTGATTCCAAGTAATGTCGCCCAGAAAACAGTAATTTTGGGGTGACTTAAAGGTGTAAGAGCTTAAAACGTGAATTGATATTTATAACAGATATATGAAAATATGCGGAACTAATAATTCAATCACCAAAAAGCGCATAAAGATCTCTGTTTTAGGTATCATTAGACGTCTTTTTCATAAGTTAGCAGGGTGTTAAGGGTAAAATTTTATTACCTCTGTATTTCATAATATTTCACAACTTTTATTGTACACTTTCTATGAAGAAATGGATTGACATGGCGGCAAGTGTCAGATTGATACGTGATCGGTTGTTTTTTTCGCAGCTCTTAAACAATATCATTCAACCTAGACGGTTAAGTACCATGACAAAGTTAATCACGTAAAATTTTGAAAATCGTAATTTAAGCAACTTTTACCAATCTCGTCAATGTTTACTAATGTAGTGTGACGTACACTTAAATATGTTACGAGTCACCGGATAAAATGTGTTTTATTTCAATTACCATCTTCACTTCTCAATATTTTGAAAAATATGTAAATATACGAATATCGTATTTATGTGACTTAAATATTTTCTGTTTGGCAACACAGTTAAATCGGATAAAGGATAAAGTTAGGTAAGCTGAAAACTAAAAATGCATTATCACATGTTCTGAATTTTTTTCAGAATGATAATTAACCTCGATTTCAAATGTTATAAAATTGCTTTAGTTTTTATATGAACTATTTCAACAACCATTAAGTTGACATCCTCATTTGCTAAAAGATATATTTCCACAACTTTTTACAACAATATCAATGTCATGTCCGTGATCGTAAGGGGGAATTCTTAAACAAACATCTTTTTCATGCCTTTTTATGGCGATCTTGGCCACAAAGCTATAAAAGCATTTTTTTTTTTTTTGTTAAAAGCTATTTTATATGATTTTCTACTTTTTACTTTAAACTAACTCGAAATTGTCTATCAACTTCCATAAATTTTCTATGTAAGGCGATGCTCTTTTTGCCCTACGCAGATTGCGCATGCACAGGAAAATACTACTTCCGGTCTATTTTTTCATCGCCATGAACCGCGTAGTAAAAAGGTCTACACCGATGATTTTCAACATGAAAAAACAGGAAACATCTTTCCGAGATTTGTGTACGATTTGTTATTAACATGTGTGCAAATTTTCACATCATTCTCCCAGTATAATCACATTTACTGTGTAAAATGACCAAAATATGAATCGCGTTGCGCCGCTTTTCACTCAAAACGGGATAAACTCGTACAAAAAAATCGATTATCAATATAACTCTGGGTATATCTCTTTACTATCTGTTGTAGATTTTTTTCAGTTAAGGTACATCAAATGATTTATTTTCAAATTTTATTTTTAGGCTTTTTGACTCCAGTGAATCTCTTTCTCCTTTACGTCTGATGTTACAGAGGTTCTGTTAAGCATACGCATATCTGTATATTTTACACGAATTTTTTTCGATTCTATAGATACGTTATGGATGTAAATGGATATATTTTATATCATACTTAAAATGAAAATACCAGTTTCCATACGAAGATAACTGATATTGTACAAAATTCAATCAACATTAAAATATACACAGTATTGTAACGATGCATCTATCTGAAACTCAATCATGTTTAGGAAAATATATTTTCCCTTACATTTAACGTTTTACTGTTTATTTGTTGTTTTATGCATACGGTTTATAATAATGTACACCAATTACACCTCATAAAAGATGTGCAATTTTGAGAACGTCATAGCTAATGTTCTTTAATGGGAGTCGCATTGCAATATGACATGAAATAAATGTAGAACATATAGATTAATTATGGCATAGGTTAAATTATTTTATTTTAGGGTGTGGGCTTGATGTAATTTAAACATAAAATATATATATATAATTGTAGTCTGGAAAAACATTTGCGTCATGAGTTTTTATATTGAATCTTTATTAAATATAATAGAAATATATTTTTTCTGTCACTGTTATAACATTAAACATGTTCTCTTTTAGTTGTTTGAATCGTAGCTTCAATCTAACGTTGAACTCGGGCAATTAAATATGTCAATTTGTCGGTTGGTGACAACGCTGTATTTCTCAAAGAAATTCACATGTTAATTGAAACTTGACCAATATCTTTATATATTTTTTAATAATGCAATAACAAGATTAACACAAATCAAATATGTGTTGACCATTTGTTTCTGGGCAGTACGTATTTCACGTGGCAAAATGTTAAAGATGAAGGTAGTCTTGCTGGTATTTAAACCAATTCACCGTATTGAATTAGTCATTACTCTAAATAGTGTATGAAAGTGTCAAAAAGGCAACCTTTACATTTTGTTTGTTCATATCCTAGCAACAAGGTACTTCTTTATTAGATAGATAAATATATATACTATTTAGGTGCAAAATAACTAATTGATATTGTGAAAAGTGTGGGATGATCTCGAGGTTTATACAAAAAAGCTACTCATTCCTCCTTAAATTAATACTTGGGCATTTTTAACCAAGCAAATGCTACTCTCTTTGATCTATTTTTATATCGTCACAATGTCATTGAACGAAGCTGCTGTATACATAAGGTTTGCCTCATTTAGACTTTTTATATTGGATATTATATCATTAACTGTGTCTCGTCGGTCGCCCGAAACAGTCTAATATTTACTTAGAAGATGCACAGTACCGTATCATAAATACTCTTAAATTGCAGCGGATTTTGTGCCTCGTAATTCTAATCGTTATCCAGACGTCCAAGTCTGAAAATAAATTAAATGTCATATATCTTCATTCTCATGCATTTCATTCTGCCCTGTAAATGTTGAAAATGGGGAATATGTGTTTATAATACTTAGTGTTTTCATTAATGTAACAAACGTACTAAATCTAAATATGGTATTTTTGTACATGTTTTATTGTGTGAATTTATACACAATCATTGCAAAATACGCATTAAAACAAAAATATATGCTGTTATTGAATAAATGACAAAATATCAATGTAGCACAATACAGAAAAGCAAACGTGTTACTCTTTTTCCCACTTTCAACATGGAATAACATCATAATCGATACACTTTTTTACCTCACAAAAACTGTTCTTTAAACAGATGTTGAGAACACTTGACAAATCAATCACATGTTAAAGGCGAAAGTTTTATCTGAATTAAATGTATGGTGTGTATAAAGTGTCAAAACTATAATATTTATGAAACAGATTTCGCGAATCGTTTCATTTCATATTTTATATAAAATTCAAAAAAAGCACATATATATAATATCAACTTCTTATTGGTAATGTTAAAGAAGGTCAAAAAGCCCAAAACATTTGAAAGTCTTAGATAGACCATGTGAAGCACTTGAAATGGAAAAAGATAATAAAGAAATATACTCAGAATTAAGTTGAACATAAATGAGCCGCGTCACGACAAAACCAACATAATGGGTTTGCGACCAGCATGGATCCAGACCAGCCTGCGCATCCGCGCAGTCTGATCAGGATCCATGCTGTTCGCTTACGAACCGTATAACAAGTAGAGAAACTGATAGCGAACAGCATGGATCCTGATCAGACTGCGCGGATGCGCAGGCTGGTCTGGATCCATGCTGGTCGCAAACCCATTATGTTGGTTTTGTCGTGACGCGGCTCAAATGTTTGTGCAATTCTAAGCCTGATTTGATTTAGGGCATTTTAACAATAAAGATGGTTATTCTAGAGAAACGGGGTGAGGGAATTATCTGAAAATTTGCACATATGTTATCGGTTGGGCCTAAACCAATTGGTACATAATCTCGAAAATAATATTTCCAGTACCGTCATGTCTTAAAATCTCAGCGGAATCCCTTTAAAATAGAAAAATAGAATTACAATTTGAAGATATTGAACTGATATGGCATAAACAATTCTGAAAGTTACACAGCGTGTCTTTATCTAGCGAGTACTAGTATGCCCATTTTTGTTTACCATACATTATACAATCTTCAATTATACAGAATCGTCGATCTTGTATCAGCTGTTCTTTTGTTCACCCCAAACTCACGTGAGTATGAAACATATTTGTTAAAATATAGATTTACCTTTAAATGCGCAAATGGTGTTGCAAGTTGATTAAACATCTTTGCTGTAATCAATTTCTTGTTCTTTTCAAGTAACTTCCGTAAATGGTGAGTGTTTGCTATACATTGATAACGGAGAATTTATTTGCTTTCCTAATTATATGGGATTTATATTATTTGATGCTGAAAATTATACGTAATGCTTTTAAGAAAATGTGTTTTTATTAAGGATCTATTTTTGTGTATAAATTGAATTGAAAACCGTTTTCGGATTAAAGAGGCGGTTAGTTTATCACAATACATATGCTTTCTTTGACACTAAAATGCTCTTAACTAAATATGACAGTGTTTACTGAATGCCTTTCTCCAAAATATCAAAATCTTCGAAAAATGTAGTTAATATAAGCTATATGTCTACGTAAATAGTAGACCTTTTAAAGGCTGTTTATTTGTGAATTCGTTTTGTAATATTCATTTTGTTGTAAATTTCAGGAAAACGATAGTGAAGACCAAAGCCGACCGGAAGCTGTTGAAACTTTCAAGCCAGACCTTCAAGACAGCCAAATAATGGCACCTCAAAAGAAGTCAAGAATAAACAGACCATTTTTCGTTGCATTCTTTTTAGTAATTATCATTGTTGTTATATATACAATGAGCTCACGGCCGAACAAAGACTTGACAGAAAGAATGCATAATGACTGGGTAAAAACAATGACAAAGGATGTTAGTGTCCAAAATGACAGTGTTGGTTTACGGCATTTTGAGAGACATGAAGTGACGCGTTTAAGTCAGGAGACGGGATCACAGGACAAACGGGTCAGCATGATACTACCTGCTGAAATCCCTGAAGATTTACACAAAGCACAAACACAAGGAGTGCCAATTCAATACGGGTCAGATCAAAATACTGGTGTATCAAACACAAACATAACAGTGCAAAGATCAGAGATAGCTCAAAATAAACTTATTGATATGAGATTGGATGACAAAGAGTCAGATGGAAACAACATTGAACTTCCTAACGATGCTTACAAAGGAAATATTAAAGAAAATGGTGAACATTATGAAGACGATGATGATGATAATGATAGTGATGATGAATACGATGATGATAATGACGATTATGATGACAAACATATCATAGAAAAGGACACAGCTGATAACACCGAACAATATACAATGAATGAGTCACAATATAACAGAGAAAATGTTGTTCAAACAAACTTAGTTAATATGCACATAGAACCTGATCAACAACAAGCGAATAATTTTAATCCTGAACAAAATAACTATGTGAAGCCGGAATTAGAACAAGCTAACTATGTAAAATCAGAGCAAGGTCAAATGAACTACGTTAATCCAGGGCAAGCGAACTATTTAAATCCGGGAATAGAAAATGCTAACTATGCAAAACCAGAACAAGCAGAACAAGTTCAAATGAATTATGCAATTCAAGAACAGGCTAAGTATCCACAACAAGAGCCAGCCCAAGTGAATAATATTAATCCAGAACAGGTAAACTATGGCAATCCGATTAATGAACAATCTAACTATGCAAAACCGGAACAAATACAAATGAATTATGCAAATCAAGAACAAGCTAACTATCCACAACAAGAGCCAGCCCAAATGAATAATATTAATCCAGAACAGGTAAACTATGACAATCCGATTAATGAACAATCTAACTATGCAAAACCGGAACAAATACAAATGAATTATGCAAATCAAGAACAAGCTAACTATCCACAACAAGAGCCAGCCCAAATAATTAATATTAATCCAGAACAGGTAAACTATGGCAATCCAATTATAGAACAAGCTAACAATGTAAAACCAGAACTAGTTCAAATGAATTATGCAAATCAAGAACAAGCTAACTATGCACAACAAGAACCAGCTATGCTCAATAATGTTAATCCATATCAAAATAATTATGTACAGCTGGAGCCAGTTGAAAGAAAATTTATAAATACAGAACAAGAAAACTATGCTAAGCAGCAGTTAGAACAACCTTCTTATGTTAAACAAGAACAAAATGGCAATGCTCAACAAGAAATTGGACAGGATAATAATGTAAGAACAGAAAATTCAAATTACAATAAACCTTTGGTTGGCATTATCGGGGATAATAACGTGCCTTCATATAATGCTGGATTCAATAACGATCATCATTATCCTGGTTTGAGTAACAATGCTGTTCAGGGTAATGTTGTTTCTGATACACAAGGTGAAATTCAAAACGAAAACGGTCAAATTGGCAACTTTTTGGACACAAATAGGTTGTCACAAACGTATGATAATGGATATGGTGATAGTGAAAGAAATATTGGGAAACAATTATTTAACATAGACAAAGATGTTTATCATACCATGAAACAGCCAAGTCCATATACACTTGCACCATCCATCGAATCCCGTATGAAACTTCACAAGATTTTGAAAGACATGCATGATATTGTTGATCACGGAAGTGCTAAAAGTGATGAAGAAAATAAGAAGCAGTGGAAAGAGGGTGAAAATAAAGAACATGTGTATGATTTGAACAATAAGGTGGATATGTTCGGAAATTTAAGGATGCAGGTTAACCTTCAAGCGGAGCCAGTTACTGGAACCAAACCTATGAGACCACCGTATAAGTCTAGCATACAATACCCTGAGTATTTAACGCCTATAAATTGGGAAACAAGTTTCGAACATGTTAAAACACCCACATTTGAATGCGTTCCGATGAGAACGATAGACAAGTATATTAGAATATGTGTTCATCCACCAAAAGTAAGATCTCAGATGTCCACTAAACTGAAAGCAGAGGCTACTTGGGAATATAGTGCTTTAATGGACATGCAAAAAGCGCTATTGCAGAACAAAGACGCCTTCCTTATAGATATTGGAGCTTCATTCGGTGTTTTTAGTTTGGCCGCAGCTGCATTAAACAGAAATGTTATTGCCGTTGAACCATATTCTTCCCATATTCAAGTGCTGAAGCAATCAGTGGCATTAAATAGCTTCAGAAATCACATTACACTTTTCCAGGCGGTGATTTCTGATCGGCGTGGAAAGGTCTTGATCAAGCCATTAGAAGATAATGTGGACAATGTTTACATACAGACTGTTGAGGAAAATGAGCAAGCAACAAATTACACATTAGTAGTAAATACTGTCACTTTTGATGACATTGAAAAGATATGCCCAGGAAGAGTTGCTGTTCTGAAAATTGACATACCTGGTTTTGAAAAGAGAGCACTAGAGTATTCATATTTTTTCTTCAAGTATATCTATGTCACTCATGTGTTCATGCATTGGAATACAAATGATAAAGGTCTTTGTCTATTTGTTACAAGATTTTTTGTGGAAAAGGGTT